TATACACACATATATATGGTAGTTTTTTTAATTATTTTTATTTTTTAGATATATTTAAATTAAAAAGAATAACCAATAACTAATTTAATAACTAATTATGCCATGTGTCATTCTATTGTTCTGCCATTTGGCTTTATGAGGTGTTTTTGTCTTCTGCTTTTAATTATAGATTTATTTTAAAATAATTTAAAAACTCCAACTTGAAACTACTCCCACCCAATTTGAATGGGTAGTTTTTTTTATATTTATATTTTCGTTTTTTATATATATTTAAATTCAAAAAGAATAACCAATAATTAATTATTAACTGAATTATACGATATCTTTTTTTATTTTAATTATTTTAAAACTCCAACTTGAAACTACTCCCACCCAATTTGAATGGGTAGTTTTTTTTATATTTATATTTTCGTTTTTTATATATATTTAAATTCAAAAAGAATAACCAATAATTAATTATTAACTGAATTATACGATATCTTTTTTTATTTTAATTATTTTAAAACTCCAACTTGAAACTATTCCCCGATTTGAATGGGTAGTTTTTCTTCTGTTTTTTTTCCGTTTTTTATAGCTTTATTTATTTTTTTGCTTTTTGATTTTAAAATAATTTAAAAATTCCAACTTGAAACTACTCCCACCCAATTTGAATGGGTAGTTATTTTTTTATATATATATTTTTTATTTTTTTTATTATAGTTATAGATATATTATTAATATAGATATAGATAAGAAATCTATATTTATTAATTAAATTAAAGTAACCAATTAATATATATAACCAATTATTTATATATATATATATATATATATATATATATGGTAGTTTTTTTAATTATTTTTATTTTTTAAATATATTTAAATTAAAAAAAATAATTTAATAACTAATTTAATAACTAATTATGATATGTGTCATTCTATTGTTCTGCCATTTGGCTTTGTGAGGTGTTTTTGTTTTCTGCTTTTAATTATAGATAGATTTTATTGTTGCTTCGTACCATTATTAAGGTGCAACGGACGCGATAGATATTGAAACATATGGATTTTCCGTTATTTCTATTTCATAAACGGCATTTGCTGTGATTAACCCATTACTCCCATTTCAACTGAATGTGTAGCTACAAATCTCTGTTCTAAATATAGTGTTTCTGGCTAACGGTTTTACGCATCAACCGCCATGGTTTTTATCAATCTTCCTGATAACAAAACCCTATCCCTAGACATTAATCCTAGTATAAGTTCGCTCCAAAACCTAAACCTAAAAATTCATGAAAATTTCCACATCCCAATCACCCAACAGTTTCTTTTTCTTTCCTGTCGGCGGTTACTCAACACCGACGTACGGTTATCCGATCTAGGAATTTTCCCTAATTCGACTCTAACCCTACACGTTCCTCTACTCGGAGGTATGCAAGCACCAGCGGCACCGAAAGCGCGACTCGATTTCCTAAACACAAGGCCTCCTCCGAATTATGTTGCTGGATTGGGCCGTGGTGCTACGGGTTTCACTACCCGTTCTGATATTGGGCCTGCCCGTGCTGCCCCTGACCTCCCAGATCGTTCAGCTGCTGCTGTTGGCGGCGCTGCACCAGCAGCTGGCGGCGTTGGCCGTGGCCGTGGCAAGGGTGGTGCGGGAGAGGAAGAAGAAGAGGATGATAATGAGGAAAAGGGGTATGATGAGAACCAGAAATTCGACGAATTTGAAGGTAATGATGTAGGGTTATTTGCTTCTGCTGAGTATGATGAAGATGATAAAGAAGCTGATGCTATTTGGGAAGCTATTGATCAGAGAATGGATTCAAGGAGGAAAGATAGAAGAGAAGCTAGGTTAAAGGAAGAAATTGAGAAGTATCGAGCGTCTAACCCGAAGATCACGGAACAGTTTGCTGATTTGAAGAGGAAACTGTATACATTGTCGAGTGATGAGTGGGATAGTATACCTGAAATCGGGGATTATTCATTACGAAACAAGAAAAAGAGGTTTGAGAGTTTTGTGCCTGTTCCGGATACCCTTCTGGAGAAGGCTAGGCAGGAGAAAGAACATGTAAGTGCATTGGATCCAAGGAGCAGGATAGTTGGTGGCATGGAGACACCTTCAGCGCAAACGCCCGTCGCTGATTTGACTGCTGTGGGTGAAGGGAGAGGAACCGTGTTGTCGGTGAGGTTGGATAGGATTTTGGACTCGGTTACTGGACAAACTGTGGTGGATCCTAAGGGATACTTGACTGATTTGAAGAGCATGAAGATTACTAGTGATGCTGAGATTTCGGATATAAAGAAGGCTAGGTTGTTGCTTAAGTCGGTTACTCAGACAAATCCGAAGCATCCTCCTGGTTGGATAGCAGCTGCTAGACTGGAGGAGGTTGCGGGGAAGATGCAGGTAGCGAGGCAGTTGATAAAGAAAGGTTGTGAAGAGTGTCCTAAGAATGAGGATGTTTGGTTGGAGGCGTGCCGTTTGGCGAGCCCCCTTGAGGCTAAGGCAGTGATTGCTCAAGGTGTTAAAGCAAATCCTAATTCAGTGAAATTGTGGATGCAGGCCTCAAAGTTGGAGGAAGATACAGCGAATAAGAGCCGTGTTTTGAGGAAAGGTCTAGAGCATATCCCTGATTCGGTGAGGTTGTGGAAAGCTGTTGTGGAGTTGGCTAATGAGGAAGATGCTAGACTTTTGCTTCAGAGGGCCGTAGAATGCTGTCCATTGCATGTGGAGCTGTGGCTTGCTCTTGCTAAGTTGGAAACTTATGAAAGCGCAAAGAAGGTACTTAACAAAGCTAGAGAAAAGCTTCCTAAAGAGCCTGCCATCTGGATCACTGCAGCTAGGCTGGAAGAAGCCAATGGGAACACTGCTTCTGTTGGGAAAATTATTGAAAGGGCAATCCGGGCTTTGCAAAGAGAAGGTTTGGAGATTGACAGGGAGGCTTGGATGAAGGAGGCTGAAGGATGCGAAAGAGCTGGTTCCCTTGGGACTTGCCAGGCAATAATAAATAACACTGTTGGGATTGGTGTTGAGGAAGAAGATAGGAAGAGAACCTGGGTTGCTGATGCTGAGGAGTGCAAGAAACGGGGTTCGATTGAAACAGCAAAATACATTTATTCACATGCTCTTACTGTATTTAGAACTAAGAAAAGCATCTGGCTTAAAGCAGCACAGCTCGAGAAAAGCCATGGCACCAGGGAGTCACTTGATGCACTGCTTCGAAAAGCAGTGACCTACATTCCAAAGGCCGAAGTTCTATGGTTGATGGGTGCCAAGGAG